CATTTGTATTTGCCCTTCCCCATCCCTCCGCTGGCGCACACAACTGTGTGTTTCGGAGGAAGCCAGCCCAGTTTCCAATGTCTTCCCTTGCACTGGAAGGAGCAGAGCAGAACTGATTTGGCAGTGTTCGGCATCTTTGGGCTGCTCGAAGGGCTGGTTTCTATGTCATCTGCCTCAGAGGTGGAAGCAGGGAAGGCGCCCAGGTTCACATCTCAGGCCGGCAAGAGCCATGGGAGGCAGTGGCAGGCACGACATGTAAGCTTGCCAGGGGGACCACAGTGGGATACCTGGGGCAAGAGATTTATGGGCAGAAAATATAAGAGGACATCTCGGTTCCTAAGAAGCAGCGTGGGTGGAAGACCCTTTGAGAAATTAAGACTTTTTTTTTTTTTTTTTTTTTTGATCGGAGTCTTGCTTGTCGCCCAGGCTGGAGTGCAGTGGCCAGATCTCAGCTCACTGCAAGCTCCGCCTCCCGGGTTCACATCATTCCCTGCCTCAGCCTCCCGAGTAGCTGGATACAGGCGCCCGCCACCTCGCCTTTTTGTGTAGTCTTTTTTAGTACGAGACAGGTTGAATTAGAACTTTAAAGCAGCCATGTTTATGGTATAAGCCAAAGAAAACAGAGGCCCCCAAAAGATCTGAGATGACCTTAAGCTGTCACCTCAAGCTGATACCAGGTATAGGATATGCCTCTGAATTAGTGAAGCTTTTCCCCACCCACTCTTCAAAGACTGGATAGATGACTGCTTTTGCAAATGCCCAGTTTAAAAACACACACACACACACACACCACAAGATAGCAAGAAACGGGAAAAATGTCCATTCACAGGACAAAAATGTATCTCTAGAAACCATCCCTGAAGAAACCAAGGCATCAGACTTGTTAGAAAAGACTTTAAAACAGTTGTCTTGAATATGCTCAGAGATCTATGGGAGAACATGAGAAAGGCCTAAAGGAGATCGGGATAGTGATGTATGAACAAAACGAGAATATCAACCAAAAACAGAAATTATTTAAACCAAATTCTGGCGCTGAAAAATACAATAAATGAATTGAAGTATTCAATACAGTGGTTCAGCAGCAGACTCAAACAGGCAAAAGAATCAGAGACCTTAGAAAATGGATCTTTGAATCACTGAATTGAGGACAAAAAAAAAAAAAAAAAAAATTAAGAAGACCCAAGGGATTTTTAGGACACACAAGGTGTCCAGTTTAGGAAGTTCCAGAAAGAGGAAGAGAGACAGGAAGAGGACAGAGCTAATTTGAAAAAAATAATGGACAAAACTTTCCCAAATATGGAAGAAAGAAATGGATTATACAAATTTAGAACCTCGACAAATTTCAACTAGAATAAACCCAGAGAGACTCCAGCAAAGGTGAAGGTGAAATAGTCCATGTATAAAAGTAGGAAGCATTCAATACCCACTTTTTTTTTTTGAGATGAGTCTTGCTCTGTCACCCAGGCTGGAGTGCATGGTTGGGTAATCTCAGCCTCACTAAACCTCTGCCTCCTGGGTTCAAGTAATTCTCCCTGCCTCAGCCCTCCAGAGTAGCTGGGATTGCCAGGCATGTGCCACCACACTTGCTAATTTTTTTATTTTATTAGAGACGGGGTTCGCTGGTCTCGACTCCTGACCTCAAGTGAACGCCTGCCTCAGCTCCCAAAGTGCTGGGATTACAGGCATGAGCCACTGCACCCAGCCAGTACCCCACTTTCAATAAATTATTAATAGAACAACTAGACAGAGGATCAATAAGGAAATGTAGGACTTCAACAACGCTATAGACCAACGGACCTAACATCACCACACAAACACTCCACCAAACAACAGCAAATACACATTCTTCTCAAATGCACATGGAACATTCTCCAGAATATACTCTCTCCAGAGGGTCATAAATACAAGTCTCAATAAATTTAAGAAGAACTGAAGTCAACACAAGTATTTTCTCTACCACAACAGAATGAAGCTAAACTCAGTAACAGAAGGAAACTGGGAATTCCACTAATATGTGGAAAGTGAAACAGATGCTTTCAAATAACCATGGTAAAGAATAATCACAGGGAAATTGAAATATCTGGACAAAACACACATACAAAACTTAACGAATGCAGGCGAAAGCAGTGCTAAGGATTATTCACCATGACAAGGAAACTTATAGCTGTAAATCTTTTTATATATAAAGAGGTTAAAAATGGACAACCTACATTATACCTTAAGGACAAACTAAACCAAAGAACAAACTAACCAAAAAAAAAAAAACAAATAAAAAAAGACAAAAAGAACAAGAAACAACTAAACCAAAAAACAAACTAAAAAAAGAACAAACTACCAGGCGCGGTGGCTCACGCCTGTAATCCCTGCCACTTTGGAGGCCGAGGCGGGCAATCACGCGGTCAGGGAGATCGAGACCATCCCTGGCTAACAGGTGAAACCCCGTCTCTACTAAAATACAAAAAATTAGCCGGGCGCGGTGGCGGCGGCCTGTAGTCCCAGCTACTCGGAAGGCTGAGCCAGGGAAATGGGCGCGACCCGGGAGGCGGAGCTTGCAGTGAGCCGAGAGGTGGCCACTGCACTCCAGCCTGGGCGTAGAGTGAAGACCTCCGCCTCAAAAAAAAAAAAAAAAAAAAAAGAACAACTAAACCCAAAGCTAACAGAAGTAAGAAAATAAATATTATAGCAGCGGAAATAAAAACAAAATGAGAAAATCAGTGAAGCTAAGAGTGGTTTCGTTGGGTCCGTGCCGGCCGTCGGGTGTGGAGAATGAAAGAAACACACCAAACCAAAAGAACACAGAAACATGGCGCCCGCACTCAGAGCCTCACCTCACTTATTTATACTCTGTAAACCCCACGTCAGCAGAAAGAATGCAATGCAAAACAAACTTTCTTTTCCCACATGTAACCTTCTACTTAGTTCCTTGTTTCTATGCTCTTTCTTATCTGCCCGCCTTCTTGGCGCCTACGGGAGTTCATTAAAAGTTTAATTGGAGATACTGTCCTTGAGCCCTATCTATTTTTAGCATACTGTTTTCAAAGGCCCCTGCATTGGTTCTTCAAAGAGATCAACAGGATTGACAAAACTTTAGATGATTAAGAAGGAAGAATCAACTAAAAGAAAAGAAGGGACATTATTACCAATTTTATAGAACTATAAAGGATTATAAGAGTATTATGAACGACTGTATGCCAACAAATTGAATAACCTAGATGAAATGGATTTCCTAGAACTCTACAACCTACCAAGACCGAATCGTGAAGAAACAGAAAATCTGAATAGACTGACAATTAGTAAGAGGATCGAATCAAAAATCAAAAACGTCCCAACGAAGAAAAGCTCAAGACCAGATGGCTTCACTGGTGAATTCTATCAAACATTTAAAGAAGAAGTAATGCCAGTCTTTCTCAAACTCCTCCAAATAGTTGAAAAGGAAAGAATGCTTCCTGACTTATTCTGTGAGGCTAGGATTACTGTGATTTGAAAGCCAGAGAAAAACACTACAAGAAAACTATAGACCAATATCCGTTATGAATATAGATGTAAAAATCCTCAACAAAATATTAGCAAATTGAATCCAACAGCTTTTTTTTTTTTTTTTTTTTTCTGGAGACGGAGTCTTGCTCTGTCACCCAGGCTGGAGTGCAATGCCGCAGTCTCGGCACACTGCAAACTCCACCTCCCAGGTTCAGGCAATTCTCCTGCCTCAGCCTCCTGAGTAGCTGGGACTACAGGCGTGTGCCACCACACCCGGCTAATTTTTGTATTTTTAGTACAGACAAGGTTTCACTGTGTTGACCAGGCTGGTCTCGAACTCCTGACCTCGTGATCCACCTACCTCAGCCTCCCAAAGTGCTGGGGTTACAGGCATGAGCCACAACGCCCGGCCCCAAGACCATATTAAAAGGATTATTCACCAAAACCAAGTGGAATTTATCCTAGGAAGGGAAGGATGGCCCAACATAAGAAAATCAATGTAACACATCACATTAATAGAAAAGAGGGAAAAAATCATGTACATCTCAACTGATACAGAAGGGCGTTTTACTATAAACATTCCCTCTGTGATCAGAAACAAGAAAAATATTCCCACTTTTACCACAGTTTTTCAACATTGTACTGGAAAAGTATAAGCCAGAGCTAATAGATAAGAAATAAAAGGCATCCAAGTTGGAAGGAACAGGTAAAGCTATCTCCTACAGAGAGAAAATTGCAAAGAATTCACAAGAAAGCCACTAGAGCTAGGAAGCGAATTTTTGCAGTTTTGGGGTACGAGATTGACAAACAATGCAGTTATGTTTCTACATACTAGCAATGAATATCCACAAAAGAACTTAAGAAAGCAATTATGTTTATAGTAGCATCTAAAAGAATAAAGCTAACCAAGCAGGTGCAAGACTTGCCAGTTGTCTGCTGAAAACAAAATACTGTATAAAGAAGTTAAAGAGGCTGGGCACGGTGGCTTATGCCTGTAATCCCAGCACTTTGGGAGTCTGAGGCGGGTGGATCACCTGAGGTCGGGAGTTTGAGACCAGCCTGACCAACATGGAAAAACCCCATCTCTACTAAAAATACAAAATAAGCCGGGCATGGTGCGCATCTGTAATCCCAGCTACTCGGGAGGCTGAGGCAGGAGGATCACTTGAACCCGGGAGGCAGAGGTTGCAGTGAGCCGAGATTGCACCACTGTACTCTAGCCTGGGTGACAAGAGCAAGCCTCCATCTCAAAAAAATAAAAATAAAGAAAAATGAGGGGAAAAACGAAAAGATAACCAGTGCGCAAAGAAATTCTAAATGTTCTCAGTCCCATGTTTTTGCTTGGTAGAGCACTTTCAACCCACTGCCATATTGTCATTAGTTTCCCTTACAATTCTATCCTTAACTCTGTCCTTTTCCCTTGGAAGGCCCTTGCCAGTATTCCTGCCTACACACTTCCTTTCTTGTGGGTTTGCAAAGACACTGGAATCTCATTTCCACACCAAAATAACAGACGCCAAAAATGTAAAGTCGTGAGTTTATTGCATATGTAACAAAATGAACCTGACCTCCTGGGCCCAGCCTGCTGTACAATCACTGTTTGTTTTGTGTTTCCAGCTGGTTCCATAACCACATTAAATAGAACTAGTATTTCATTAAATACTTTTGATTTTGACATAAAACAGAACATTAGTGTACAACTTTCACAAAATAAATCAGCGATAAAAACCGTGGGAAGGATAACAAGGATAGCAGCAATACTTAAAAACAAGACATTACAAAATAAATTAAAAAATACATTATAAAGTGGTTGAGAAACAAAAATAAACACATTTTTAAAATCCATACTATGTTTCGGGAAGGCTGCCGTGCGGCACACACCTGGCTGCAGATGGCGGGTAGGGGGACATTTTCTCTGCAGAAGGCCTTTCCTGACATCTCGGACTGGGTGACCACCTTAATCGGAATTCGGACCATATGTCTGAACAAGCTCAGGGGTCGAAATTCGATCTGGTGGCAGATTCTCTTTTCAGAACTGGAGAGAGCCCTTTTCCTGTCGCCCCGGGCCTCCCAGGCAGCCTCAGCTCTTCCTACCAAAAGCACTGGCAGAGTGGTGTTTGCTACATCCCTGAGTGTCGGCTGACGGCCGCTGGTGAGGGCAAGCCTGAAAAGCCGGGCCCCTGAAGCATCTGGGCAGAGGGGCAGGGGGCATGGCTGGATCGCCTGGGACCACCGAGAGGGGCGACACAGATCACACGTGAATGGGCTTCGCGCGGACCCAAAGTCCAACATTCGGGAAGCTTTTACCATTTGCTTGCCATATTGAGTTCTTTGGGGTGGTTCAAAAGGACCAAACAAACCATCGTAGAAACTGAAGGTTCTGGGAGTGCGATGCCACCGACAGGGAGGCCTGTTTGGAAAGAGTGAACCGGAGCTCTGGAAAGGTCTGCGACACTCACACGACCGATGACAAGGCGGCAAACCCACACGCAGGTGGAAGTGGAAAAGCAGAGACGGGGGCCGGGACGGGAATGCCATGTGTCCGCCGGGGCCACCTGTGGAGGACCCGGGACCCAGCCCTCTGGCTCTGGGCTGAAGCAACACCCGGCACGAGAGGCAGGGCAGCACCGACCAGCATGGGGCTGGCGGGTGCAGCTGCTAAGGCTCGCCCCCGACTCCTCCCAACAGCAAAAAGGTAGTTTTAAAGGCGTCAAATGCAACATTCCTGCTTCAAAGTCTTTTAAACCATGAGACCCTGGTTTCCTTCCTAGTTACTGCGGATTTTGGATACCACCACCAGGAAAATCAGGTGGGGCCTCCGACCTCATCCCGGAGGCCGCTTCAGTTCTCAGATGGATGTCTCTTCTGCCTCCCGTGGGTTAGGCTCGTGATAGAGGGTGGGCTCTCCGGGGGAGGGCTGTAGTTTTCACTTCCTCACCTTCAAGAGGAAGATGCAAGGAAAGGCTGGATAGAGCCACTGGGAAACGGGCTTCTAGAACACCTTCAGGAAGCATCATGGTGAATGAGACACAGGATGCGCCCACCTGGGGGGGCAAGGCAGAGCTTTTCAAAGAGGCTAAGCCCACCATTGGGCCTGGACTTCTGGAATGGGGGATTAAACTTTCCTCCTGCAGCAAACCTCGTTTGGCAGCCCTTCCATTCTAGAACCTCAGCAGCCCAGAAGTTAACAGTGACAAAAAGAACAGATAAAACCGTTGTCCACAAGGTCCTTCCCAGGCCATCTCAGACCCACAGCGGGATCCCAGAGACTTCAACAGCAGTGAAATGTCTTGCTCATCGATTACCCTGTACTTGCCCCCACCCCAAACAAAAACAACAAAGAAACCATACAGGAACATTGGTTGCTGCTGCTGTTTTCTGCCCAAGTTCAGCTACTGGAAATCAAGCCACTTTAAGATAAAACACTGTTTGCCTTCTGTGCAAACTGGAAATGGTGTCAGAAACTTCCAGTCTAGGCTTGCTTCTGGCCTTGCTGATCATACGAAGACATCTGGGCAAGTGAACCGAGTAGCAATCGTTAGTGTCACCAGCTGCCACTGGGAAAGGGGCCACATGAGGCAGTGTGGAGCCGTCCCCCTCTGCGGTCACAGGTTTGCGTCCACACCCTACTTTTTGTAGAACAGTATCTTTGGGTGGATTTACATCATCGAGGTTATCCTTTCACCATTGCTTTTAAGCTAGTTCGCACCAAGCCAGCAGCTATGATAACACAATTTTGTTAGTTTAGCTCTTAGCAGTTGCCGCATCACGGTTTACTAATATTTTAAGTGACACAGTTGATGCTCTTCTATGGACAACAGTGGCACAGAGGTCACAGCTTTGGGACTGACTGGTTGGCTCTAGGGCTGATTTTGGTCTGCTCTTTTCTACACTCCGTGACATGGTGTTTTCACTGAAAAGAAAAGTCAAACTGGACAGATAATGCAGCAAAAGGGGCCCTTAAAAGATGGTTTTTCTCTACGTAAAAAATTATCAGCCAAGATACCCAGCAAAGAAATATCCTGGCTCCAGGAAAAGCTGCTCCAATTCCTTCTCCTTTCAAAGGGGAAACACATTTTGACTCAAGCTTCCTGCTGTGGCAGAATTCCAATAAGCATACGTTATGCAGTTATTTTTCAGTTGGAAATTCATCTGCTGCCCAGAACAGGCTGCTGGGATGTGAAATCTGGAATCTGAGCTCTGGTAAGATATCTAGCAGCTGCTCAAATTGAAAAGGGGCCTCAAGGCTATTTGAGATGGAACAGCGGGGATAGCCACCAGTTCCAAACCCTCAGCCAGCCACACTCAGTCCCCTAACTGTGGGCTGATGCTCCCGTAAAGAGCTCAGGGCCATGAGCCTTATCACCACATGGGTTGCAACCACAGCAGAATATCCTGTGTGACCAAAGCCAAAGGCTAACCCTGGCTGCATTTTATTGGATGGGTGATGGAAGCGGGTGGGAGTACTATAATAAAGGAGAGATATATGGGTGGGAGCCACCAACAAAAGTCCCCCATCCCCCTCCCCCAACAGAAAGGAGAGAGACAACCCTTTCCCCTCAGGTGATCTGGAATTCCAGGGCCTCTGCCAGCTTTGCAGGAGGCGCACAGAAGCTGGATGCTTTTGGTCTGGTGGCCATGAGCTAGACTCTGTTGCCTTTGGTTGCTTTTCACTCCACAGCAAACCCGCAGGTCTCCTCCACGGCTGTCAGCAGCTTCTCGTAGAGCTTCTCATAGGACTCATATGGTGGAATGTCGATCCGGTTAAAGCTGAAAAAGGACAAAAGAGTGAGAGTCACTGGGTGGGCAGTCCAGCCCTGGGACCAACCTCAAGGCCAAGGACAGGCAGTGAGAAGTGTGTGTGGGAGGGGAGAGGAATGGGGGGCGGGGCAGGAGTGGTGGTGAGTTCTCCATGTCCCCCTGTGCTTTTTGCCTCTAATACAAAGATTTGTAATTTGTTTTTGCTTTTTGGTAGAGACAGGGTCTTGCTAGGTTCCCCAGGCTGCTCTCAAACTCCTGGCCTCAGGTGAACCTCTTGCCTTGGCCTCCCAACATGCTGGGACTACAGGCCTAAGCCAGTGTGCCCAATCAACACACAGTGAAGTAAGTCTTGAGCCTTGACAACCAAAACATCACCAAATTACTGTTCACGGCTTCTATCAGGACAAAGCTCTCCGCTTGTTTTTGTTTGTCTGTCTGTGGGAGAAATTCTTTCTCTGTGCTAGGAATGCCTCTTTGGCAGCCCGTGTAACCCAGACTGGCTGTCAGGCAACGTCACCACTAACGATGTATTGCGTGTCTGTCTGTTCCTCTGGGACTTGATCTGAGACCAAAACGGGGCAGTCTGGAAAATTCCTTGCAAAAACAAAATCTCAAAACTAGTAAGATGACAAATCCTTAAAAGATGAAATGAATACTCAACTTTTGACTCGATATTTCCAGGGAGAAACTCGTTTCCAGTATTTGTGCAAAGAAAAAGACATCCTTTAAGAAGCTACCGTAGCAAACCAAAAAGTACAAAATTGTGACCCAGAGGACGTACAGTGACTTCCTGGCTTCCTAGGGTAAGCAGTTACGGAGGGTGTCTGTCTCTACAGAGCTGGGTTCCAGGGTGGGCCCTCTTTTTTCTGTGCTTCAGAGCATACTTTCCACATGCATCTAACACCAAGCACTAAACTGCTAAAGGACAAAAGCCTTGTGAGGAGGTGCGCAGCCAACATGGTGCGTTCCCGTAACGGATGCCACAGCCACGCTCGGAGCAGGACCCTGGCACCCACCACCACGGTCCAGGACCAGCTGCATTACCCCATTTCACAAGTGCGGAAAACCAAGTTAGAATATGAAGTCACTTGCCCCAAACCACATGTCAGAGGGTGTCACAGCTAGCATTTGATCCTGCATCCTTGGTTTCCAAGACAGGAACCTTCCATCATCTCACTGGGCATCTCAACAGCATCTAGAACTGGTTCCCCCAAGGAAACGCGGCTACTCGTCTCAATGGATGGTTCCAGGACAAAGTGCGTGCCAGTGACTGGATTTTTAAACCATACAGGAAATACTCTAGTATGGAGACTCATTTTTAAGTTAAAATTTAGGAAGAAAATATTTGCAATAGACAAGGTGCATGTGTCATAAGCAGGAGTCCAAGAAGATGGGGACCCAGAAATGTCAGCTAAAGTGAAGACCAAAACTAGACTATTTTCCTTACCAACAGGTGTGTGTACATAAGACCTGGCAGAGAGGAAGATTTGAGCCTGCTGGAGTGGTAGCCACACTCCACTGAAACACCAATGTTAATTAATGACATGGCTCATAACAAAATTAGTTTCATAAGATACTGTGACAACCTTTCTGTGGCATGCTGCAAAGTACTCGTCCCATCTGACACAAGCACTACTGCCAGTCATTGAGACTTGGCATAAATGAAACAGAGTCCTACAAATCAGAAAACAGCTTTAAAAAAATAACATGAGGCCGGGCTTGGCGGCTCACGCCTGTAATCTCAGCACTTTGGGAGGCCGAGGCGGGCAGATCACCTGAGGCCAGGAGTTCCAGACTAGCCTGACCAACATGGCGAAACCCCGTCTCTACTAAAAATACAAAAATTAGCCGGGCGTGTTGGCAGGTGCCTGTAATCCCAGCTACTCGGGAGGCCAAGGCACGAGAATAGCTTGAACCCAGGAGGCAGAGGTTGCAGTGAATCAAGATTGTGCCACTGCACTCCAGCCTGGGTGACAAAGCAAGACTGTCTCAAAAAAATAAAAAACTAAATCAAGAGAAAAATCTATATTTAAATTTTAGGTTATATATACTGTAAGATTTTATGTTAAGTTTAGCAATAATGTTGGCCCTCTTATAGATATTTTGTTGCATGGCCAGTAAAGCCACTCTATACAGCGTTGTCATGTTGGAGGAAGAGTCGCTTGCTTGAGGGCTTCAGAATTGTCATTCAACTCTCAGATTTCTCCTTGTGTCTCAGGTGCTGTGGCTTTTGAGTTTTGATGATGACAGAAATATTTTAGCAGAGACTCCATCTCCAAAAAAAAGAAAAAACAACAAAACGAACGTGAACGTCAGCATCCTCCGGGGCTCCCAGGACGCCGTGACTTCCTGGCCGCGGTGCTTACCAGGTATGGGCCTTCGGAAGGTTGTCTGTGTTCGCGTCTATCAGGTGGATGGTGAACAGCCGGGGCCCTGCCGCGCCTGTAGAACCTTACAAGACAACATTCTAGTTAATGTACTTCAGAGGCACAGCTGTGGCACTTCCTGGCCACACGGCCCCCAGGAACCAGGGCCCTGACCACGTTCCCACCCCTACACCCAGGCAGGCTGTCCTGTGATAGGGCCATGAGGTTCCCAGGCCCAGTTTTAGGACATGCCTGCAATGGCCATCAAAGTGAAAACATTCAGACATTTTTTTGAGACAGGGTTTCTGTTGCTCAGGCTGGAGTGCCGTGGGGCAGTCTCGGCTCACTGCAACATCTGACTGCCGGGTTCAAGCAATTCTTCTACCTCAGCCTCCCAAGTAGCTGGGATTACAGGTACACACCACCACACCTGGCTAATTGTTATATTTTTAGTAGAGACGGGGTTTTGCCGTGTTTCCCAGGCTGGTCTGGATCTCCTGGATCGCCTCAAGTGATCCACCCACCTCGGCCTCCCAATGTGCTGGGATTACAGGTGTGAGCCACCACACTTGGCTAAAATTCCAACATTTTAGAATATCTTGCAGGGGGCAGAGCAAGAACTGCTAAGGCCCCTCCTAAAGTGCACCCTGACCATAAGCCTGCTCCAGACAGGCTCCCTGAGGGTCAGCGCTGTTTGCACCCACCCTCTGGAACAGACGACTTGCCCACCAGTTCTGTGGGGCAGGGTGAGGCACCAGCCCCTTCTTCCTCAGGTCTTTCCAGACTCAGCCCCAAGTGAGCACCAGGCTGGCCAGCAGCCACCACTGCTGCGGCAAAGACGGCTAGCTGACAGGGCTGCCGGGCGCCGGGAAAGGAGGGCACAGAGGTCACGGGCCTTGGCTCTGCTGCCCCTTGCTCCTGTGTATTCACAGATATTCCTTTCAAGCTGGGCCAAGGTCAGTGGCAGGACAGGAATCCAGGAGCAATGAGGACCAGCAGAGACACCATCTTTCTGTTGGGCAGAGGGTCTCAGAGTGCAGCCTCCTGCTTCCTGGGGACCTGGGACAGGAAGGTGGCTCCTCCCCCTCGCAGGCCACACCCTCCAAGCCCCAACCTCCTGGGGAGTCAGGACAGGCTGCGCCAGGTGGGGGGCTTCAGAGACCTCCTGCAGGGCCCTGGCCACTCTGCCCGGCCCTGCCACCCTCCCACAGCACCAGCACTCCTTGTTCTGCACTGTGACCCTGTTCACCTCTGACCCACCTTCTAGACACTTCGGGGACACTGGGCTAAAGTCTATCCAATTATTGGGGGATGAGTGAGACCCTTATGACGACAGGGACCATCTCTAAGCGGGAACATTTAGCACGCGGACCTGCTGTGGGCAAGACAATGGCACCATGAGAAAAGACTTGGTCAGGAAGCCTGGATTCCTGCCCTGCCTCGCTGTTCACACCTGCCTGTTTCTTCCCCTTGGGGGGATAATAAATCCCATGGCCTCAGTGAGTCTCGGCTTCCTCATCCATGGGATGGGGCTAATAATCCTCGTCAGCCAGGCTCTCTGGGTTGTTGGGAGAACGGAATGAGAAAGGCTTTGTAAATGACAGGCACCAGCACGCTCTGGGAGCAGCTGTCATGGTCAGGCTGGTCAAGCAGACAGAGGCTCCCAGATGGGAGTGGGGCTCAGCCTCGAACCCCTTTTTATTCAGGCCGGGCCCCTGGCAGCAAATCCATAGGCAGAAGTCACAATGGAAAAGTCGAAGGCGCCCTGATGGCTAAAGCCGACTGAAATGGAATTAACCTCCTTTTACTCAGCGAGGCAGAGGCAATATTCTGTGTTCACCATGTGTCTGTGTGTCTATCCACATTTACAGTTCAATCAGCTAAATTTCAGTATGGTGACACCGTGCACCTCACTCCTTCCAGCAGCATCCCCTCCGAACCCTCAGTGTAAAAGATGAGACATTAGGCCGCCGGGCCTACAGGCAGACGGGCACCTTTCCCTCAGTGGCTTAAACAGAGTGAGCATGACATCATCTTTCGGTGTGGTTTGTGGCTAAACAGGGGTTCATGTGCAGCTCCAGGAGCCACTGAGACTGGGGGCGGTTCCCCCAGAGCTCCCTCCCCGGGGTCTTGGCTAAGCTGGCCTCACAGACACTCTGAAGGCCTCTGCTGGCCGGACCCTCTTGGCTTTCTGGAAGCAGTGAGGAGGGGGAATCCACGTGCCCTGGGGTGGCTCCACAGTCTCTGCTCAGCGGGGCCCCACACCTACTCACACACGGCCTCTGCAGGGCAGAGCATTGGCTACTGGAGAACATTCCTTATGCCATTTTCTAGCACACGTCTCAGAAAAACATCCCGGCCACCCTCCAGCTCTTCGGTCCACAGCCTAGTACAGAACACAGCCCCCACAGACGCGCCATCGAATAGCCCCGCCTCCACGTCAGTCACCTTGCAAAGCCTTGAAGCCTTGGAGCGGGACCCGCGTAGATCCAGTCACAAACTGCAGGAGCCTGGCCCTCCTTTCTTCATCGAACGTCTCCACCGCTTGCCAGAACCACCGCACGATGTTGCTGTCGGCCACACAGTGCTTCAGCCGCGTGTTCGACTTCCAGTCGTTCAAGTCTATTTTATCCAGGCCGCCTATGATCAGCTGAGGTGGTGCAGAAAGGTGAGTTACTTCCAAAATGTATAAACCCACGTCAAGATGCGCCTCCCAGGTACCCGACATACACACGAGTGAAAAGTCGGTTCCCAAGCAAAGCAGCAGCTGTGTCTAAATAAACTAGGCAGACGCTGAGATGGGAAGAAAGCTACACGCAGGAGGCCTGTGGCACATGCTTCCGTCTGCTGCCTCCAGACGGGTCTCCAACCCCAAGGACCACATTGCACAGCTGCTGATGGGACGTTGTCTTATAACCAAAGCGGGGTTTTTGCTCTGCATGGGTGAACAGTATCAAAGCACCAACGGGTGACACTGAACAGAGCTACCACCATGAACAAGGGCACGTCCCAGGGTCTCTCCAGGACACTCAAGGACATGTGGAGTTTCGAGTCTGAAGAGAGGAGAATTCCGCAAGAGTCACGTGGGGCTGGGGCTGATGGGGCGTGTTTGTGCAACTGGCTTAAAAAGTTCACCCCCTGCTAGGTGCGGTGGCTCACGCCTGTAGTCCCAGCACTTTGTGGGGGCCGAAGTTGGGCGGATTGCTTGAGCCCAGGAGTTCAAGGCCAGCCTGGACAACATGGCAAAACCCTGTCTCTACAACAAATACAAAAAGTAGCCAGGCATGGTGACGGGCACCTGTAGCCTCAGCTACTTGGGAGGCTGAGGTGGAAGGATTGCTTCAGCCTGGGAGGTCGAGGCTGCAGTGAGCCACGATTGCACCACTGCACTCCAGCCTGGGCAACAGAGCAAGACTGTCTCAAAAGAAAAAAAACACAAACATTCACCCCAGAACTACTGCTCCATCCAAGCTCTTGGCTCCCAAGCTCTCCTCACTGGCAGCAGAAAAACTTGGAGAACAATCTACAAGGCTTGAGCTGTTTGGCACCAGAGATGGAGAAGGGCTGAATGAATCACCGTGTTCAAGCACATGCAGTATGACTAGAGAATACAATAGCCCCTTGTTCTTAGTCTAGGAACAGCCAGAATAAAAAGCAGTAAGTTACTGCTGTGGGAGCACCTGGTTTTCCCCCCCGCTAGATACCCTGAAAACAAGGGAAGCCACAACCACCTTGACCAGTTTTCCGGGAACTATTCAGATTTCCTACCGCCAGGCAGACATCTCGCCGGTTACCAACCAGCATAAACAGCCTCTTCTTCCCACTCTCGCTCTAGTCTGGGAACACCAGCAGCTCCTAGGCTGACTAGGAAACGGCACGTGCCGCCCCTCGCAGCAAGGATTTAAAACAGGCAGACGCCAGCCACAAGGGAGCCCCTGAACGCCCTGGGTCAACTCCGCATGGCAGGCACCTACCTCCAGTTCTTTCTGGTCAAAAGGCTTCAGCAGGTGTTGAGGGATGAGCTCATTGAATCCCTTCTGCAGAGCTAGGAACTGGGCTTCAATTCCTCTCATAAACCTCCAGTTTACATACAACCTGGAAGAAAAACTCGCAAGTTGGATGCAACACCAAGTGGATTTTCTACCATGGACGCATCAGTTCAAACACAAAAGCACTCGAAAGTGAAAAGTAGCTCTTGAATCTGCCATCGTTCTTGAGCCATAGGCAGAGTGGAAGATTTTCTTCACACAGCGAAGGAGCTACAGCAACTAAACGCAGGCTCAGCCACGCCCCAGGCACCCAGCCGTCCCCCATAGGCGACTAAACGCAGGCTCAGCCTCGCCCCAGGCACCCAGCCGTCCCCCACAGGCGACTAAACGTAGGCTCAGCCTCGCCCCAGGCACCCAGCCGTCCCCCCAGGTGGCATTACCGGACGTATTCTTTCTTGTTCTCCTCTGTGACCGGCACAAGTCTCACAAACATGGGAACACACTGGGCTCCCCCCTCAGATCTCTCCACCAAGACAGACAAACACCACCAGCTAGTAGTACCAAACCTTGGCATCACGTTAAAAATGACTCAGTGCGTGCCCTGATTTATTCCGATTCGCTCCTGAAAACAGGAGGATTGAACCTGATCTGTCACATCAATTGCTGCAATTTGAAAGCATGTTCTGGCCAGGCACGGTGGCTCACACCTGGAATCCCAGCCCCTTGGGAGGCCGAGGCTAGAGGATCGCTTGAGGCCAGGGGTTTGAGACCAGCCTGGCAACATAGCAAGACCCTATAAAATAACACAGACCTGTGTCGGCTCACACCTGTAATCTCAGCACTTTGGGAGGCCGAGGCGGGCAGATCACCTGAGGCCAGGAGTTCCAGACTAGCCTGACCAACATGGCGAAACCCCGTCTCTACAAAAAAATAGCAATAAAACTAAGCCGGCGAGAGGTGGCGGGCGCCTGTAGTCCAGCTACTCGGGAGGCGTGAGGCAGGAGAATAGCGGGAACCCGGGAGGCGGAGCTTGCAGTGAGCTGAGATCCGGCCACTGCACTCCAGCCTGGGCGACAGAGCGAGACTCCGTCTCAACAAAAAAAAAAAAAAAAAAAAATGTGTAAAAGTACATTTGAAAGTACAGCACAGGACAGCGTGGCACACAGACGTGCCCACATAGTTCTCAGCTGCAAGTGCCGAGGCCTGAACATGGATTTGCCTCAAGTTAGGGATGGAAAAAATCTGAGAGGGTGGCTTCGTCGGACTGAGCACCGAGACCCTCCAAAGCCACTGCTCTCTCCTTTGCCTCTGACCTCTGCATCCATAATTAGGTGGTCACTGAAAAGTCCTTCCCTACATGGGCTCTGTCCCTCAGGCCAGGCTGGCCCCATCAGGGCCCCTCCAAGCAGATCCCCGATGCTGCTGCTGAGCTGTCGGTTTCTGAAAGTCGCCTCTGTTCATGTGATCTGATCACAAGTGCCAGCCATCACACAGCGAAGGAGCTACAGCAACTAAACGCAGGCTCAGCCACGCCCCAGGCACCTGGCCGTCCCCCATAGGCGACTAAACGCAGGCTCAGCCTCGCCCCAGGCACCCAGCCGTCCCCCACAGGCGACTAAACGCAGGCTCAGCCTCGCCCCAGGCACCCAGCCGTCCCCCCAGGTGGCATTACCGGACGTATTCTTTCTTGTTCTCCTCTGTGACCGGCACATTTCTGCCATTGGGTTTCAGTTCATGCTGAAGGATCCGTCCGAAGGCGTTGTGTTCCACGCAGAAGGTGTGGTCCAGTACAGGCGTGATGTCGTTCTCTCTGTTGAAATAAGACAGGAGGATGTAGGTTAGAGCTCTGCCACCACGTGGGGTCATTGGGTAGACAGACAACATTTACGACTGCCAGACCCGGGGCTGCAAGAGAGGACAGGCTCGGGCAGACACAGAACCTGTGTGGGGGTGGCACAGCGACAGGTGCTGGAGGACCTGGAGACCACAGCTCTGGTTCCGGATGTCCCCACTCCTGGCTTCCACAGTCATAGAAGGCGGGGAGCAGGTTGCTCTACCATCCTGTGGTTTCAGGAGACCCACACCCCAGCTGCTTTGTACGCTGAGTGTGGGAGTCCCAAAGGCAGGAATGTGAAGAGGTATCAGGGTCAAAGGGAAATTGACCTGGAGATGAAGCCACGCCAAGAAAATGTTCTCGGCCAGGCACAGCAGCTCACACCTGTAATCCCAGCACTTTGGGAGGCCAAGGTGGGCAGATCACAAGGTCAGAAGATTGAGACCAGCCTGGCCAACATGGTGAAACCCCATCTCTACTAAAAATACAAAAAACTAGCCAGGCGTGGTGGCAGGTGCCTGTAGTCCCAGGTACTCGGAAGGCTGAGGCAGGAGAATCACTTGAACCTGGGAGGCGGAGCTTGCAGTGAGCTGAGATCGAGCCACTGCCCTCCAGCCTGGGCAACAGAGCGAGACTCCACCTCAAAAAAAAAAAAAAAAATACCCTTCTTCCCTTAGAGGCAGCCTTTCCAAACGCATCAGTTCAAACACAAAAGCACTCGAAAGTGAAAAGTAGCTCTTGAATCTGCCATCGTTCTTGAGCCATAGGCAGAGTGGAAGATTTTCTTTTTCTTTTTCTTCTTTTTTTTTTTTTTTGAGACAGACTCACTCTGTCATCCAGGCTGGAGTGCAGTGGTGTGGTCTCAGCTCATAGCAATCTCTGCCTCCTGGGTTCAAGCAATTTTCCTGCTTCAGCCTCCCAACTAGCTGGGATTGCAGGCACATGCCACACCTGGCTTCTTAAAATTTTTTTATTTTTAGTAGGAGCGGGATTTCACCATGTTGGCCAGGTTGGTCTCGAACTCCAACCTTTGACTTCAAGTGAAAAGAACAAGTGATCTGCCCACCTCGACCTCCCAAAGTACTGGGATAATAGGCATAGAGCCACTGCACCCAGCTCAGTAGAAGATTTCCTACCCGATCCCCAGAGTCCCCTCTTCAAGTTGGAACACATGACACACGGGACACAACCAGGAGGCCCCGACTCCGACTCACCCACATCCCTCCATCTGCCAGAGCCTGATCTTTTGTCCCCTTGAAATCTGCAAGGACCCGTGATAGTCACGGTTCATCTTGTCGCTGCCTGCTGCTCTTAACAGAGTGTTTAGAATAATTCCAAAGGACAGGTAACTAAATGTTCATTTTGTTTTGATACTTGCTTGGCCCCTGTGTAGGTTAACTGGAGACACCCTGAGTGTCACACACACCCCACAATGGGCCTGGGGAGTGGCCTGTTAACATCTGGGATCTTACCTTCATCATTCAAGGAAACAATCTAGTCCATGAAGAGAAACCTGTCCAACATCACGAGGAAAATAAGTCAACTGAATATTTTTACTAGATCTGGTGGTTTTTTTGGTGGTTGTTTGTTTTTTGTTTGTTTGTTTTTTGCTGTAATGGGATCTCGCTATGTTGCCCAAGCTGCTCTCAAACTCCTAGGCTCAAGTGATCTGCCCACCTCAGTCTCCCAAAGAATCTCCTTTTCTGTTTCTGGTTATAATACAATGGTTTCTTTGTGTCTCTTCAATTTCACAATGATCCCCAAAATAAAACACACACACACACACACACAGAGGCACACATGCATGCACACAGTAGACACGGTGGTTCGTGTACCCTAAGCCAGGTGACCGTGCACCGTCAGTCAATACTTACAGGATCCACACCAAGCTCTTATGCAGCTCCGGGTCCACGGATTCCAGGTCTGAGAGCTGGATGGGCTTCCCCAGCAGCTGCTTATAGAAGGGCACCGTGAAGCCCCCATTGATGTAGTGTCCGTGGAACACAGCCAGCCCCATGATCCGCCCCACAAAGTGAAAATAAGACAAGTGGTCCTGTAGGGGGCACCAGAGAACACGAATTTGTCAGCACGATGCCAGCCAATGTGGAATCTCGCTTCCCAAGAAGTGCTGTCCCCAAGCTTCTTGGGAAAAGTGTCCCAGAGGCAGCCAGACCTACTGACTCAGGGACTCACAGGCCCCGCTGCTGAGCAAGTGAAAGAAGGCTGCTTGTGTAGCAGAAATTTACCTAGATTCGCTGGACAACGTTCTGTATGCTCTCAGGGCCAACACCTCCTCAGAAGGGCCATATAACTGGCAGAGGAGCCCCGTGTTCCGCATTGACTGAGAATTTCACCTTGGTGACAACAGAGAATTAAACCAAGCCGGGGGCCTTGACACTGTAGGGCCTCGGCACCATGCTGGACGCACGCCCAGGAAGCCAGCCCTGCGCTCCCTCCCACGGCATGAGAAAGAAAAGGGCAAGTTCCCTTCCTCCTCCAATCCAGAACGAAAGGAAGGGAGGGAGGGAAAGAAAGAGAGGGAGGGAGCGAAGAAATGCTAAGGGGGAAAAAAGACCACAGGAAAATATGTATGAATAAGCCAAGTAAAATAACAATTCTAGGCTGGCTGTGGTTGCTCACGCCTGTCATCCCAACACTTTAGGAGGCTGAGGATCACCTGAGGTCAGGAGTTTGAGACCAGCCTGGCCAACATGGCGAAACCCCATCTCTACTAAAAATACAAAAACTAGCTGGGCGTGGTGGCGGGCGTCTGTAATCCCAGGTACTCAGGAGGCTGAGGTGGGAGAATCCCTTGAACCCGGGAGGCAGAGGTTGCAATGAGCAGAGATCGCGCCACTGCACTCCAGCCTGGAGGACAGAGCAAGACTCTGTCTCAAAAAAACAGAACCATTCTAGAACCAGAGCCGTTCTGGCTTTTTTTTTTTTTTTTTTTTTGAGACGGAGTCTCACTCTTTCACCCAGGCTGGAGTGCAGTAGCGCGATCTCAGCTCACTGCAAGCTCCGCCTCCCGGGTTCACGCCATTCTCCTGCCTCAGCCTCCTGAGTAGCTGGGACTACAGGCGCCCGCCACCTCGCCCGGCTAACTTCTTGTATTTTTAGTAGAGATAGGGTTTCACCGTGTTAGCCAGGATGGTCTCGATCTCCTGACCTCGTGATCCACCCGCCTCGGCCTCCCAAAGTGCTGGGATTACAGGCGTGAGCCACACCGTTCTGGTTTTTAACTCAGGAACCACACATCTCTACTTTCAGGTTTGAATTACGTTCACCTCAAACAATGAGTCAAAACTCTGCTTCCATGTTGGTGAAAGGTTCTTCCGCATTTGAATGCACAAGCGGGACCTGCCCCGCCTTCGCCTCAGCGGCCTGTGCAGGACTCTGGTGAAGGCCATGGCGCCAAAGGAGGAGCCCCTGCTGGCCGGCTGCCCGCCCTTGGGCTGGGCGTGCAAACACTGCACTGACTTCCTCATCTCTAAAACCAGCACACTAAGGGTGGCAGCATTTGTGGCTTAGAAAGCTAGTTCTGGAAAGATTCCAGTTTTGACTGGAGGAGGCTGGACTTCAGAACCCACTCCTTAGAATGACACCATTAACAAATACAGTCATCATTCCCGAGTTCCCTCGAATGATCATAAAGTGTCTCGAGTGTATGAACAGCTCCACTTCCCCCTTCATCTCCTTCAACACAACACACCCAGTGACCACAGTCTCTGGAAATACCAGATTGAAATCATCTATCTTAACTCAGTTTTCACTTTACCTCTCCATGTTTTGCTTACCGATGTCTTTGATTAAATCTACAACGAATAGACCAAGAACCGAGAATGAAACTGAAAATCCATCTCAAAAATTCTCCAACTCAATTCCCTACCTCTTTGTTCATTCATACTTACGGGGTTGATTGAAGAATCTGGATTTATTTGCAACATGTAAATATTGTCTGTAGAATACTGGAAGAGCCCGTAGTAAGGATTCAACATTTCATGGCACAGCAAATAAAGCCACTCCCTGGGAGCAAACAACAAAAATGCATTTGATACGTGCTAAAATTTATATATATATATTTTTTTTCCTGAGATGAAGTCTCGCTCTGTCACCCAGGCTGGAGCACAGTGGCGCAATCTTGGCTCACTGCAACCTCTGCCTTCTGGGTCCAAGCGATTTTCCTGCCTCCTGAGTAGCTGGGAGTACAGGCATGCACCACCAGGCCCGGCTAATTTCTGTATTTTTAGTAGAGACGGGGTTTCACCATGTTGGCCAGGCTGGTCTCGAACTCCTGACCACAAATGATCCACCCACCTCGGCCTTCCAAAGTGCCGGGATTACAGGAGCAAGCCACCGCACCCAACCTGAGTTATTATTTTCTGAGTTTCTTTAATGTTTGCATCATTGTATTATTTTAAAAACCCCAAAGTTAAAAAGAGTCAAGCCAAAAAAGAAAGGCACTTCAACTAGAAACCGTATGGTTCAGTGGCTGCACTCGGGTTGCGATAAGCCCAGCTAGTGGGCGGTCTCAGACAAACACCTGTGGCAGATCTACAGTCTTTCATTCATTCTACTCAAAACTCTTTTTCAATGGATCGCATTAAGATAGCAGCCCCAAATTTTATTCTGGAATTTCTTACTCTTTCAAACAGAAATGACAGAGAATAGGGAAGGACAGACACAAATGCAGAGAAGCTGTCCAAGAAAATCATGAGAATACACAAAAAATATCAAACAAAAACAGTTCTGTATTGTACTCAAAAGAACAGAAAGGAACAGCCAGAAGAGATGAGACTCCGAATCCTAAAAAGTTTCTTTACTACAAAGGCAACATTGCTGAATTTGAATTCATCCCAAGTTTTGGAGTTTCAATTTAGGAAGAACCTTTTTTGAAAAAGACAAAGACCTTCAGTTGTCTAGACAGGAAGTGATTAAAACACAAGCAAACGTTCCAACCGAGCCATGGACGACATTGAAGATACAATCAGCTGTGTTCTGGAAGTGGTTGGGGAAGCAATAACTAAACAGGGGAAGCTACAGAAAGGACTTCAGGACTAAATACTGGGGAGATAAGTGTAGCCTGACTCCCACAGATCGGATAATGAACACACCCCTGCACATGGGTAATACACGTGCAACTGGAATCGCTCCACCTCTCTCTGAGATAGGTATGACCCCATTAGGAGGAAGACTCCAGTGGTGAAACAACACTACAAGACCAAACTGGAGGTGGCAGAGCAGGGATTCCCAGCTCTTCCCACTACGGCATCATGTCAGTCAAGGGAAATGCACAAAGACCTGTCTCCATGCAGAAGACTAGACGACTACGGAAGACGCGGAAGGAATGTAACTCCTACCAGACCAAACCAGGGAGTCCAACAGCTGAGTAACAAGCATTTCAGAATGACCAAAGAAAGAAAATGTGCGAAGAAATTAACAAAAAGTAAAATTCATTCATTTGGCACATATTTACGGAGACAAGTGTTCCGCTGTGTGTTAGCTGCTGTTGTAAGAACCGGGGATCAGCTGTGAACAAGACAAGGTTCCTCACTGTGTGCAGCTTGAGTCTCTCGGAAGATGCAGACGAGAAACGGAGACATCACACCACACAACCATGAGGTGGTCACAGCATGACAAGGGAGGACGCCAAGAAAGGGGAAGCTACGGGACGCCCAGGACAATGGACCTCACCCAGGGAAGCAGTGAAGTCTCACGACGACCGTGGCACAGAGGAGCGAGAGAACTGCCATCAGGCTGCACAGAAGCCTTGCAGGAGACAAGGGGGGCTGTCAGAAGGTATGATGTGTAACCGTCCTGGAGGACTTGAAGTTCAAAGGGCAGTAGAGACAGTGAAAGCTACTGGGGAGGGAAGCCAAGGCGGGAGGATCACCTGAGGTCAGGAGTTCAACACCCACCTGGCCACCATGGTGAAACCCCGTCTCTACTGAAAATACAAAAATTAGCTGGACATGGTGACTCACTCCTGTAGTCCCAGCTACTCAGGGGGCTGAGGCGCAAGAATCACTTGAACCTGGGAGGTGGAGGTAGCAGCAAGCTGAGATCCAGCCAGTGGACTCCAGCCTGGGCCACAGAGTGAGACTCTGTCTCCAGAAAAAAAGGGAAGAAGAAACTCTTGGAAAAATTAGAATTTGTTCCAAAAAGTTAAACAAATTCTAGAATACTATTTAACCCCTTAATGGACAATATTTTCATTCATAATAATATAAACCATATAAACTTTCATCCCTTTACAAATAATTGGTAGACAAGCATAGGAGACTCACCAAATTTTGGTTACAGAAGAGACTGTAAATCTTAACCTTGACAATATAAAAGTAATATTACAGATGACAGAATTTAAGAGGCAGAAGGAATGCTGAAGAGAAGTTACAAGTATGAATATCCTGTTCTTATGCAAGTGAGAGGTCCAGAGATCATGTCTCTAGTTGATAAATCAAAAACTAAAGGTGAAAGCACAGGACATGAAGTTACAAATGAGGGAAGAACTAAAAAGATTCATATTACTAAATTGAACATGAGAGTAACTAGAGTCAGTCTATCTTCTGTATATGCCCATAAATCATTAAATCCAGAAATAATAAGACACCTATTCAAAGAAAGAGCTAAAAGAGTTAAGGAGCAGTTGTCTTAGCCAAGCACAGTGGTTCACACCTGCAGTCTCAGCACTTTGGGGGCCAAGATGGGAGGATGGCTTGAGCCCAGGAGTTTGAGACCAGCCTGGGCAACATAGTAAGACCTCATCTCTACAAAAAACTTTTTAAAAATTAGCCAGGCGTGGTGTTACACACCTGTAGTTCCAGCTACTTGGGAGGCTGAGGTGGGAGGCTGGCTTGAGCCCTGGAGGTTGAGGCTGCAGTGAGCTATGATTGCGCCACTGCACTCCAGCCTGGGCAACTGAGTCTCAAAAAAGACAAAAAAAAAAAAAGAAAAATTGTCTTGAAGGTGAAAAGAGGTAGGACATGAAATAGCAGCTTTTCATCATTCTATTCTGGTTTTTTTATATCATTATTTTGACCACAATTTCAACATTTTACATAATTCTTTTGACACGAATGCGATTTACATGCAGTTTACATGCACAAATGCAGTCCCTGCCCTGCTCCCTGCAGAAAATCCTTTACAGAGGAGAGCAAGGCCACCTCCTGTGTTAATTTCAGGAGCATGTCCTGAAATTATGTTTCAAAAGAAGGGAGTGAGTTTAAAGGTTGAATTCTAGCTTTATAAGAAGTCGATTAGTAGTGATGATCACGGATATTCTGGTAGGTTATGGCAAGAGGCTGGCACGAGCACGCTCTGAGGAATTCCTGTTCTGAGAGGGTGGCTGCAGCCAGCCCATGCTGGCCCGACTGCTCCAGGGAGACATCAGCCCTGCCCAGGAGTGCTTGGTGATGAGCACTGGAGAAGGGCAAATGACTTCTCCTGAAAAGACGGAAATCCACGCAGCAGAGAAGGTGAATTAGCAACTCACCTGGCCACGCCACCGTAATCCAAACCTTCTTCCCCGCGGAATTTCACCATTAGCCGTTTCTTCAAGTCTTTGGGTCGCATCTTCATTATCTGGCGGTAAGACTCCTGAATAGCAACATCACAGTTTCAGAGAGGAGAACATTTCTTATTCTTCAAGTTATAAGCGGTTATTGGTAATGGCGCCTGGTTAAGAATACGTATCCATTCCAATTCAAGTTTTATCTGGCTCCTAATCGGAATGTTTCTTTGGCATCTAGTATATTCCATCATCTTTTTTCTCAGTTTCTCCCTCTGAGACAACAACAAAACAAACACAATGCCAGGAAACACTAACCTTAAGGGAAACACGTGTCTGTTTTCAGTGAATCACCAAGGAGTGAAGGACAAATCTCACTAGGGTTGGTTTTTCTCTGTATAGATTAATTTCAGTGCACACTATAAACAACTTATGCATTGCAACCAAAATCAAGACGTTAGAAAGTCTGAATGCTAAGGGAGTTCTGAGCCTGTTTTTATATCTAAAGTGAAAAATCACATTTGACTTCATACTGAGTCAAAAAGCAAAAAGATTTTAAGTAAGACATAAGGTGGCTTAAGCACAGCACAGAACACATGTGATCAGCCTGCTATTCCCTCAGACTCAGCACTTGAAGCAGAAGCCACTACATGTCTGTAGATGTAGATTCAGTAACAAGGTACTTAAGAATTTTTTTATGCTTTAATAACGCAATTCAAACTCCAGCAACCCAGCTGGGTGCGGTGGCCCATACCTGTAATCCCAGCACTTTGGGAGGCTGAGGTGGGCAACTTACCTGAGGTCAGGAGTTTGAGACCAGCCTGGCCAACATGGTGAAACCCTGTCTCTACTAAAAATACAAAAAAGTAACCGAGTGTGGTGGCGGGTGCCTGTAATCCCAGCTACTCGGGAGGCTGAGGCAGGAGAATCGCTTGAACCTGGGAGGCGGAGCTTGCAGTGAGCCGAGATCACGCACTCCAGTCTTGGCAACAGAGCGAGACTCTGTCTCAAAAAAAAAAAAAAAAAAAAAACAACTCTGGCAACCTGAGAGGGAAAGGGGAAACAATCTGGTAGTGAAGTCAGTACTTCAGCGCTTTTCTAACCCTGCAACAAGGGCAGACATGCAGCAGGCAGGGCTGGGCACTGCGGCCAAGCTGCCCATCCAACACCCAGGCCCAGCCCTGGCCGTGGGGAAGGCGCTCAGCTCCCTGGCCCTGCTGTGCTCCCTCGGCACTGTCACCCAGGGAGAATCTGTGCTCTGTCTCCTTTGATCATTTCTGACAGTGTCTCCACAAAGGAGGGCAGGAAATGGCCCAAATGCCATGGAGATTTTCCCGAGTGGTCGGCTTTCTTGGGAAAAGCGCCAGTCTGTTTAGAGATCTGCTCCTGCAGGAAACCGTGTAAGGGACGGAACGTGTCCCAGGAGCCGCCTGCTCCCTGCCAATTTCCACAGGGGAAGCAGGACGACCCCCAGCCCCTGAGCTGCCCTGAGAAGGACAGCCCTCAGATGACATCTCGTACAAGAAGAGAGGAGGGAGACTGCCTGGCTCTGGGGAAGGCGCAGACTGCAGGAATATTTAACCCGCATCATGTAGACAAGGCGGTTCCCACTATTTTTTAGTGCTAGTTTCTATATACACCTCTAGGTTTTCACCTAGAGGTGAAACTATTTAGTTGTCTCCCTTTTTACCATGAGAGGAAATAAATACCGTTCCCTCCCTCTACACAAGCTGTGTTCCAACAAACTCTGCACTTCCTTTAGTAATAAAATCAATACCTGAAATACCAAGAGAAAGAAGGGTTCCCTGAAACGCAGACATCCCACACAAAGCAGTTCATTTAAAGCAGCCCTTTAAAACAAAGGCATTTGAGATTCCTTTGTCTGAGCTGCCTTATTTGTTTCTGAACAGGGTCTGGGCAGTGGCCCTGAACTCTCTACCTCGAAGATTTCTTCTCTGGACACTTCGATGCGGCAGTGACCAGCTTGGGGCTGCTGAAGCGACAGTTCGTGTCTGAGGACTTTGAGCTTCTGGACTAGATCTCTTTCGTATCTCTGGGCAGGAAGCTCCTCGTCCTCCAGAGAGCTCTCGCTGGGCAGTGGCAGCGGCTGGCTGGGCTCCTTGAGTTGGCACTGGTGACTTGGGAAGAAGAGACGCAGAGAGTCACTCTGAAGCCCCGGCCAGGGGAGCTGCAAGCACCCACGTACGCGACAGGGTCGGCGGAGAGGGCTTGCTACATGCACCTTCGGGGAGAATTTGCTTCCCTGATGGCATAACCAGGTACCTAGCTAGCTGTGTAAAAGTCGCTGATGGCCACATTAGCCTAAATATAGGTCTACAGTACAATAAAGAGGTACCCCAGGCCGGGCATGGTGGCTCAAGCCTGTAATCCCAGCACTTTGGGAGGCCGAGGCAGGTGAATCACCTGAGGTCAGGAGTTCGAGACCAGCCTGGACAACACGGTGAAACCCCGTCTCTACTAAAAATACAAAAAATTAGCCAGGTGTGGTGGTGGGCACCTATAATCCCACCTACTCAGGAGGCTGAGACAGGAAAATCACTTGAACCCGGGAAGCGGAGGTTGCAGTGAGCCAAGATCACACCACTGCACTCCAGCCTGGGCGACAGAGCCAGACTGTGTCTCAAAAAAAAAGGAGGTACCCCAATTCCAAGCAACCACTTATCTCACACTTTACTACTACAAATAAAAATGGAAATGGTTGTCATTTATTATGCATCTATTACACACCCATGAGATGGACCAACACCATCAGATGCACCTTGGCAGTTAGAATGAAATGGAGATGATGGGAAAAAATTTTAAAAGATAACAGTGGAGAGCTCAAATGAAATCTAATGATAGGCACAGCAGCAGACTGCTCGAGTGAAATCTAATGAAAACCATCCCTCATTTTTACCGCCAAGAGATTTCCACGCCTGCTCACTGAGAGCAAACTTTCAGTAAAATAAAAGGAGTAGTATTAGTACGGTGACAAAGTGGCAGTTGTCCAGTTTAAGTTTTGCCACTGAGACACACAGCTGTCAGTAAAAAGAGCTATGTCGAGGGCGGGCGCAGTGGCTCATGCCTGTAATCCCAGCACTTCGGGAGGCCGAGACAGGCAGATCACCCAAAGTCAGGAATTTGGGACCAGCCTGGCCAACGTGGCAAAATCCCATCTCTACTAAAAAAATAATAAATTAGCCGGGTATGGTGGCAAGTGCCTGTAGTCCCAGCTACTCAGTAGGCTGAGGCAGGAGAATCACTTGAACCAGGGAGGCGGAGCTTGCAGTGAGCCGAGATCGCGCCACTGCACTCCAGCCTGGGCGACAGAGTGGGACTCCGTCTCAAAATTAAAAAAAGAGCTACGTGGGATGTTTGGCTCTGAGAACACAACAGGCCTGGAACACTAAATATGGGATCCAAGAGAATTCCCAGTTCCAAGGTATCGAGTTCCCCACCGTGCAGGCACTAGGGGGAGGACATCGCCTATCTCTGCTTCTCAACCTAAGGGCCGCATGTCTCATGAGAGCGCTGCCTGCAGAAGCTTCCTTCGTGAAGCTGCCTAAGACTTCCATCTCGGTAAATTTTATCTAGGCTGCAAGTAAGAAAAGGGTAGCAGCAATCTAGGGCTTCAGTGCTCCTCACAGCTAATTTAAGAGTCTAAAATATGCAGTTATCCACCAGATATCTAACATCATTTTGACCACGCTTATTACCCAACCAGCAAGGCAGTCAATACATTCACACAAATCAGTCCAAGAAAGCATTCAATTATCAATGAAAGAGGTCAGCAAAAACTATTTTTAAAGTCTTACTTCATGATGTGGTGTAACCTTGGGTCTGTAAACTGGGTTGTTCGGTTATTATGATCTACAAAATATATCCTCCCAGAAACTGTACTTCTGACTTCCCAGCCTGGCGGCAGTGGTCCAAGTTCATCACAGTTCACACTGTTAAGGTCTCTACCAAAATGGAAGATACAGAAAAGTTTATCCAGCTGAGTATGGAGGAACGAGGCCAAAAGTCAGCAACAGAAGCCGCAGAGGTTCCTTATCAAGGTGTCTGTGTCCCAGCTCTGCTAAGATGGACCTTCGTGGTGCTACTTACGCCAAACCTCCACTCAGTCCAGGCCCCTCTGTTGCAAACAGCAGCAACATCCAAGAGATTAAAAACGAAACTTTCAGGCTGGGTGCGGTGGCTCACGCCTGTAATCCCAGCACTCTGGGAGGCGGGTAGATCACCTGAGGTCAGGAGTTCAAGACCATCCTGGCCAGCATGATGAAACCCCGTCTCTACTAATAATACAAAAATTAGTTGGGTGTGGTGGCGGGTGCCTGTAATCCCAGTACTTGGGAGGCTGAGGCAGGAGAATCGTTTGAACCCGGGAGGTGGAGGTTGCAGTGAGCCCAGATCACATCATTGCCCTCCAGCCTGGGTGACAAGAGCAAAATTCCATCTCAAAAAAAAAAAAAAAAAAAAAGGAAGTTTGAGAGCTTATAACCATGATAAGGAACAGGGGCTCCCCACAGAATATCATTTCTTATACGAAAGAAGGCCCAAATAGTAGGAAGTATCTTAGTGCTGTCAGAAAACTAACTGAATTCACAAGTGTCATTAAATGCTCCAGGCCAGAAGGGTTTCTTCATTGGAAAGTTCCCAGACAGCACCAAGCTTTTCATGGGGAAGGGAGAATACAGGAACATGCATTCAGAAACTTGCTTCTAAACAGTTGCAGGACAAGCCATTCTCATTTTCAAATGGGCTTTTTGTTCAACAAGTATTTTCCACGCTAAGAATGATTAATTATTCTCCTGATTAATCATTTCAACACAATCTACAGTCAGAAGGGAGCACAGCTTTACCGACCGAGATGTGTTTCTAATTAACACAAAAGCCTGTCATTTCTAACGGGGTACAAAAGAGATGCTGCATTCGTTTGCAGGTAATATATTTCCAGTCTCATTATAGGTACTGAGTCATAAATTAAACACAGATTTGGAAAATCAAAGACAGGAAGTTTATTCTCAGATGAAACAAATTATGAATAAAAAGGAACTAAAGGTATTACCAAAACTCGTATTAGGTAGTAATGCTATTCCAAAAGGAAATAAAAAGCAACGAAAAGAAACAAAGAAACTTAACTCTGTTATGGGGTGGGGGGGGTCTCTCTAACCTGGGCTCAGATGTATGGCCTTGCAGAAGGAATTCGTATAGAAAAGCTTCATCTCCCCCAGGAATGGTCCCCGAGGGACTGAGGCAATGGGGACAGTAAAGTAGAAGACAGAAAGGGTAACAGAGTCTTTATATTTCCTTGACTTATGATAGAAAATTTTAAGCATATAAAAAATGAGCGATCCTAAGGAATCACTGTGTAACCAACTTCAGCAATGATCACGGTCAACCTCGTTTCAAACGTACCCCTGGCCACTCCCCCCACCCCAGCTTATCTGAAGGAAATCCCAGACATCAATATCATCTCATTCATCAATATTTTTAGTTTAAAACAAGAGCAACACATCTGGGAGAGGGCACTGGCTTTTCAAGTCAACTGCTGGAAAGACAGCTGGGAGGGTGTGCATTTCAGGAGGCTTACCTTGGTATCCTAGGGTCGTGCCACGTGCTAACTCCGGTCTGTGTGTGCAAAAAGTAAACCTGGCCCTGGACTGTTGTTCTTTGTTCTACACAAGAAATCAGGGATCCACATTAGACAACTTCAGTTCCAGGGAGAGTCTGTAACCAACCCTCGATGCCCTCCCTTCTGGTATTATCTACATCTAGCTAACGCTCCCCGTCTTCTCCCGGTTCTTCTGAGGTGGCCAAATAATCCCCTCTTCTCCGTCTTGCCCCATGCTCTCCTTTCCAGAGCACTACAGACATCCTCATCTAGCCTACATGTTATCTTGGTTGGCTCTGGTCTTCGTGTGCCTAAGATTTTCACTTAATTTCTAGACTGGGAGATGTGGAGCAATTGCTGAAAATTCATGCTTAGCTAGATTGAGCACCATTTTCTTCCAGTTGTCTTTACACTGCCACGATTATCAAATGGCATAGCCATGCAAACATCCGCACTTACGGCACAAACAGGCTACTCAAAAAGGGTTAAAGGCCGGGTGCCGTGGCTCACGTCGGTAATCCCAGCACTTGGGCGGCTGAGGCAAACGGATCACTTGAGCCCAGGAGTTTGAGACCAGCCTGGGCAACATGGCGAGACCCATTCTCTACAAAAAATACAAAGATTAGCTGGGCATGATGGTGTGTGCCTGTAATCCCAGCTACTCGGGAGGATCACTTGAGCTAGGGAGGTCAAGGCTGCTGTAAGCCATGATCATGCCACTGCACTCCAGCATGGGTGACAGAGCGAGACCTTGTCTCAAAAAAAAAAAAAAAAGTCAAGCTCCTGGAAACAGGGCAGATGGCACTGGCCACAGCAGGGTACATTCTCTCACCGTAGCCTTCGGGCAGTTCCGGGGACTGGTGGCCGTGTGGTCGGTTCTGGGGCGTCTGTAGTGAACCTCGCACATCAGGGTTTCGAAGCCGCTGTGCCTGAAGTCTTTGATCTTGACTTGGGGACTCCACAAACCTGCAGTTCCCTCCTCCGGCAGCAGCACCGGTGCTATCTGTGTAAGGGGCTGGTTCCTCCATGAAGCAGCTGAGCGGCCTCCCAGGCCCTGAGTCTTCATACACCGATCTGAAAGGGACGAGAGCAGGCAGACATGGTGTCACCATGGAGGAGTCACAAGACCAGCGCCTTAGGGCTAGTGTCCTGGGGACACTGTCACATACATTCATTTGCTTTCCTTTAACAATGTCCAGTGTTCCAAGGGCCTAGTTTTGTAAAATTCACCCTGTGCCACTCAAACAGAAAGACAGACTCTTCTAAGAGGAACAGGTGGCCGGAGTGTCCCCAAGGCCAACTGTACAGTTTCACCGTAGGGTAGACTGGAATGATTAGAAGAAACCAGCCTTAGACTCAGAGGAGTTCGTGAAATGAGATCTCATTTTTCTTGATTTAAAATCACATCCAGGCCGGGTGCGGTGGCTCACATCTGTAATCCCAACTTCGGGAGGCCGAGGTGGGCAGATCACTTGAGGTCAGGAGTTCAAGACCAGCCTGACCAACATGGTGAAACCCCATCTCTACTAAAAATACAAAAATTAGCTAGGCATGGTGGCACATGCCCGTGGTCCCAGCTACTTGGGAGGCTGAGGCACGAGAATTGCTTGAACCCAGGAGGTTGCAGTGAGCCAAGACTGCACCACTGCACTCCAGCCTGGGTGACAGAGCAAGACTCCATCTTGAAAATAAAATAAAATCATATCCAAATACTCCATTTTCCTTGTTATTTTACTCTATAATGAAACTCCTGGTTACATAAAATACCAAAATACCTTTAGGTACTTTTTAAACATCAATCTTTACCCCCTGAGCAATTTTGAAGACAATTTACCTTAATAGGCTACTGTCCCTTAGAAGCAAATACTTTTTTAAAATCTTAGATTGAAAAATTTCAAATATGTACAAAAAATGAGAGACCAGTACAATGAACCCCCCGTGTCCACCCCTCCCAACTAACCATCATCCAATGTCCACTCTTCCAATCCCTCCCCCACCAACCCCAACATTTTATGACTTCATCCTTAAATATTTCAGCCTCTAAAAGGATCTATATTGTCCCTCTAAAAGACAAGGACTTTTTCCATTATCACGACTAAAAAATGTTCATTAATTTTTTAAAAAATCAAATGCCAGTGTTCATATTTCTCCAATTGTCTCATAAATCAGGATCCAAAGTCCACACCTTGCATGTGTAGCTATGTCTCAAGTTTGTTTTCATATGAATTGTTGACAGTTCTCCTCCCCTCCTGTCTTTGCTTTCCTCGAAGTCTATCTGCTGAAGACAGTGGGTTGTCTGTCCTACAGAGAGCCCCATTCTGGATGCTTGTTGATTATATTCCCTTGGGGCCGTGAGACACACTCCTGGTCCCCTGTATTTCCAAGAGGTGTGTTAACGTTGGATCATCTCTCTTCTGTGATGTTAGCAATTATTGATTGTTGGCCAGGTCCATTAATTCATGGGGGACTGCAAAATTGTGACAGTGACCACTGGTCCCCTGTATTTCCAAGAGGTGTGTTAACGTTGGATCATCTCTTTTCTGTGATGTTGTTAGCAATTATTGATTGTTGGCCAGGTCCATTAATTCATGGGGGACTGCAAAATTGTCACAGTGACCAATGACAGTTCGGCAGTTTGTTTTTAGTGTGTTGAGTTCTTTCCCCCGTCATTATGAACCCAAGGATTTTTAATATATTTGATATGTTCCAAATTCATGGCAGTTATAATTCTTTTCTTCTCTTTGAGCCAGGGTCTTGCTGTGTCGCCCAAGCTGGAGGGCAGTGGTGTCATCAGGGTTCACCGCAACTGCAAACTCCTGGACTCAAAGGAATCCTCCCGCCTCAGCTTCCCTAGCAGCTGGGACTATAGGTGCATGCCACCATGCCCAGCTAATTTCTTATTTTTTATTTTTTAGCAGAGACAAAGTCTTGCTATATTGCCCTGGCTGGTCTCAAACTCGAGACTAAAGCCTCCAGCCACCTTGACCTCCCAAAGTGCTGGGATTACAGGCAGTTATAATCCTTATTGATGCTCAAACTCACCCATCTTTGGCCCATGGGAGCCTCTTTCATTGGATTCTGAGTCTTTCAGGCACAACCTGAATTGTTGTTGTTGTTGTTGTTGTTGTTTGTTCTTGTTTGTTTGTTTTTGAGACAGGGTCTCACTCTGTCACCCAGGCTGCAGTGCAGTGGCGCGATCTCTGCTCATTGCAACCTCCTCCTCCCAGGTTCAAGCAATTCTCCTGCCTCAGCCTCCTGAGTAGGCTGGGACAACAGGCTCCTGCCACCACGCCTGGCTAATTTTTTGTATTTTTAGTAGAGATGGGGTTTCACCGTATTAGCCAGGATGATCTCAATCTCCTGACCTCGTGATCCACCCGCCTCGGCCTCCCAAACTGCTGGGATTACAGGCGTGAGCCACTCTGCCTGGCCAACCCCAGTTGTTTTTACAGCTTCCTTAATAGACAAGCAAAGTGGTTCACAGTTTTATCCCAACATCCTTATGCATCTCAAGCATTCTGCAGAGTGACTTAAGGAGCGAAGGGCACTCTCCTATAGGCCGAGAGGTTAAGGCAGCAGAGAACTCGGCCCGCCTCTCGCTGTGGTCATACGTACCCTTCATTTTCTAACAGTCCCCTGCAGTCCACCACCGAGCCGCCAGTTCCTATTCTGTCTCGTGTCTGTAAACTGACTAAAAGAGAAAAGAACGACTTGTGTTAAAACCCAGCGGGGTTTACATAATTATAACACAGTGAGTCACTGCTCATTTAGCATTTATGTACGATATCATAAAAAATGAGGCATATGTGTATGCATACACACATATATTCCTATGCTTTCGAACACGAAGCATTTTACTCCGGTAGCTGCGTCCTACTTGGAATATTCCTTGTAAATGTGGCTCAGAAAAGGGTGCTATGTTTCTTCTGGCCTCCATAAAAATAACAATGCAATATTCAGTCCCTCTATTTTTAAGAAGATTTATTTTTTAAGAAGACTTTTTTTGGGCCAAGCACAGTGGCTCATGCCTGTAATCCCAGCACTTTGGGAGGCCGAGACGGGTGGATCGCCTGAGCTCAGGAGTTTGAGACCAGCCTGGGCAACGTGGCAAAATCCCATCTCTACTAAAAATACAAAAATTAGCCGGGCATGGTGGCGCACACTTGTAGTCCCAGCTACTTGGGAGGCTGAGGCAGGAGAATTGCTTGAACCCAGGAGGCGGAGATCCTTACAGTGAGCTAAGATCGCACCACCGAACTGCAGCAGGGGTGACAGAGTGAGACTCTGTCTCCAAAAAAATTGAAAATTAAAAAAAAATGAAGAAGTTTTTTTGGGGGGGATTAAGTCTCACTGTGTTGCCCAGGCTGGCCTCAAACTCCTGAGCTCAAGCAATCCTCCCGCCTCAGCCTCAGAGTAGCTAGACTACAGGCATGTGCCACTGAGCCCAGTTTTTATTTCTTAAGAACATTCCGACTTAAGTTTAATAAAGACACAGAGAGGCCAGGCACGGTGGCTGACATCTGTAATACCAGCACATTGGGAGACCAAGGCGGGCGGATCACCTGAGGCCAGGAGTTCCAGACCAGCCTGGCCAACATGGCGAAACCCCGTCTCTACTAAAAACACAAAAAATCACCCAGGCGTGGTGGCGGGCAGCTGTAACCCCAGCTACTCGGGAGGCTGAGGCAGGAGAATCACTTACACCCGGGAGGCGGAGCTTGCAGTGAGCTGAGATCGCGCCACTGCACTCCAGCCTGGGCGACAGAGCAAGATTCAGTCTCAAAAAAATAAATGAATCAAGACACAGAGAGTACATTTAGCATCTGCAAAGTCTAAGTGAATCTAAATATTTATTCTCTATCTTTACTATGAACAAGACTTTTATAAAGTTGTTTTCAGTTACTCGTTTTTCTCCCTGGCACATCCCTCCACAAAGAAAAAAAAAAAAGAAATTACACACAGGAAAGCATTCAGTGAGAACTTTTTCATGATGGTAGATTTCAGGGTGTATGCCTGCACTATTCCTTTATCTTGAGTCAGGTCTACACAGGACAATACCTAAAAGATTTGGAGTTAGAATCACTCCAGTATGCTGCAGAGAGACCGTTTTGAGTCCGTGCAGCAGTGCTTACAAGTCAATATCTCAGTTACCCTAAAATACTACTAATACAAGTGGGTGGATTATAGGGTGAGCTATTTAACAGCTGAATCACTTCCAACAGACTGCCTCTAGCCAAACTTTGTAACGTTAGCACACTTTAATTTTTCACCTTAAATAATGCAATCCCCTGGCTGTAGAGATTATATTACATGGAATTCTTCACAACTCTTTGCTTTTTACGTATATGATGGGGCTTCCAGAGGCAACTATTTCCCAACTCCTGTATGTGCGGCCACCATTCTTATTATCTACCCTTGGATAATGCAGTCACAAATGTAGTGTCCATAAACGTGATGATTAAAATTACATTTAAAATTCTAACCCTAAATCTTTCTGCACCCGAGTCATTTTAACTCAACTTTAAAAGCCAGGAGAAGGGGACCGGGCGCGATGGTTCACGTCTGTAAGCCCAGCACTTTGGGAGGCCGAGGCAGGCAGATCACTTGAGGTCAGGAGATTGAGACCAGCCTGGCCAACATGGTGAAACTCCATCTCTACTAAAAATACAAAAATTAGCCGGGGGTGGTGGCTCACACCTGTGGTCCCAAGTACTTGGGAGGCTGACGCAGAAGAATCGCTTGAACCTGGGAGGCGGAGGTTGCAGTGAGCCGAGATCTCACCACTGCACTCCATCTCAAAAAAAAAGAAAAAACAGAAGGAAAAAAAAAAGCCAGGAGAAGGGAATTAGATAAAATAATAAAACTTCCTAGTACTGAAGAGAAGGCCCCGTATGTGGTCTGGCCTCTGAGGCCCGTCGGCATCGTCAGTGCCTGTACGTGAGTTCTCGGCGATGAAGGGTTGAATGTAAGTTCTAGAAAAGCATCTCTTTACACAGACAAGAAAGTTCTTACCCACTATCTGGCCACGAACTGCATCAGTATCTGAGGGGTTTAGTTTGCATAGATCCAAACGCTGGTCTGTAAACAAACAATTCAAAACTTAACCCAAGGAATGTGAACTAGGGAGGAAGGCAGGAATTCAGTATTCAGCAATCGAAACAAAAAACAATGCCTCCTAAGCTTTCTTCGGTTGCATTAAAAGGCAGGAAAGCATTAGGTTCTTACATCCGGTATCTTTTAATCTGCTGATGGCGTTGGAAAGCAGCCGCACACAGCCCAGGAAGCCAGCTCCCTGTTTCTTGTGAATTTTCTTGTGGTTCCACACGCTAATGGTTATCGAATCCGTTTTCCCAACATATCTGGAAAGAAAGTGAAAAACTCATTTTTAATTGTGTTTCTTTTTTTTTTTTTTGAGATAGAATCCTGCTCTGTTGCCCCCACGCTGGAGCGCAGTTGCGTGATGGCTCACTGCAACCTCCGCCTCCCAAGTTCAAGTGATTCTCCTGCCTGAGCCTCACGAGTAGCTGGGACTACAGGTGTGCATCACCATGCCCAGCTAATTTTTGTATTTTTAGTAGAGATGGGGTTTCGCCATGTGGCCAGGTTGGTCTTGAACTCCTAACCTCAGGTGATCTGCCTGCCTTGGCCTCCCAAAGTGCAGGGATTACAGGCATGAGCCACTATGCCCAGCCTTTAATTGTATTTCTGAATTATGATAGCTCAATGAGATTTTCTCTTTAAGAAACCTTATAGAATAATGTTGCCTCTGTATTACACATGTAACAGGCATTTAATAAATACGTATCCATTAATTTCAACTGGCTGGGAAGAAGAATTACTTTGCTCCTTACGGAAGGGGCAAATGTAGATAACCACATGAAAATAATAATCTTATAACAAACTTACTATATTTTATTTATTTTTATTTTTTTGAGACAGAATTTTGCTCTTGTCGCCCAGGCTGGAGTGCAATGGCGCAGTCTCGGCTCTCTGCAACCTCCGCCTCCTGGGTTCAAGGAATTCTCCTGCCTCAGCCTCCTCAGTAGCTGAGATTACAGGCACCTGCCATCATGCCTGACTAATTTTTGTATTTTTAGTAGAGACGGGATTTCACCATGTTGGCCAGGCTGGCTGGTCTTAACCTCCTGACCTCAGGTGATCCACCTGCCTCGGCCTCCCAAAGTGCTTGGATTACAGGTGTGAGCCACTGCACCCGGCAAATTTACTATATTTTAATAGTTGCATAGGACAGAAACATGATTCATAAATTCTCACCAATTAGTTTTGATATAGAATACTGGTTTGTAACAAGGGACTACTTACAAACCTATGGATCTATTCGAAGTACACAAGAGGACACTAAGACATTAAACCTCCATTTACTGTCACTGCAAGTCAACCACAGAGAGAGGAACTCAACCCACTTACAGAGCCTCGGTGTCACTGAAACTGAATCTTAGAATATAATTCTTAAAAATCCCACCCAAGGCTGGGCACGGTGGCTCACGCCTGTAATCCCAGCACTTTGGGAGGCCAAGGCGGGCGGATCACGAGGTCAGGAGATGGAGACCATCCTGGCTAATATGGTGAAACCCTGTCCCTACTAAAAATACAAAACATTAGCCGGGCACGGTGGCGGGTGCCTGTAGTCCCAGCTACTCAGGAGGCTGAGGCAGGAGAATGGCGTAAACCTGGGAGGCAGAGCTTGCAGTGAGTCGAGATCTTGCCACTGCACTCCAGCCTGGGCAACAGAGCGAGACTCTGTCTCAAAAAATAAAATAAAATAAAAACAAAAATCCCACCCAAACACAGTATAATTTGTGTTAATTAAAAGACAATAATCTTTCAGGATTACTTTGATGAAAATCTCTTAGTAGGAACATGAAAACTTGGGTGCATACAAAATAGTGGTCTTCATGGCCGGGCGCTGTGGCTCAGGCCTATGATCCCAGCACTTTGGGAGGCTGAGGCAGGTGGATCACCTGAGGTCAGGAGGTCGAGACCAGACTGGCCAACGTGGTGAAACCCATCTCTACTAAAAATACAAAAATTAGCCAGGCGTGGCGGCGGGCGCCTGTAATCCCAGTTATTCGGGAGGCTGAGGAATGAGAATTGCTTGAACCAAAGAAGAGGAGGTTGCAGTCTGGGCGACAGAGTGAGATTCCGTCTCAAAAAAAAAAAAAAAAAAAAAAAGTCATCCTTTTTTTTTTTTCCTTAAATGTTCTCGTAAAAGCTAGACACCTGCTTTCTTGCCACTCCGCATGGGGTTTA